CCTTAAGCTGGAAACACAATAGACACAGGCAATAAGCACAGGCAACAGGGAATAACGAGCCGCCCAATCAGAGCTTTGGGGTACAAGTTCGATATTATATCCCAGAACTCTGATTGGACGGTTCGTTATTCCCTGTTGTCTGTGCCTATTGTGTTTCCAACTTTAAGCGGGGAGCACAGACTTTTGCATAACGCATAACTTCTGATTGGACGGCTCGTTATTCCCTGTTGTCTGTGCCTATTGCCTGTGTCTATTGTGTTTCCAACTTTAAGCGGGGAGCACAGACTTTTGCATAACGCATAATACATGAGGCATAAGGAATTGAACCAACCAGAGTTCTCTATTACATGGAAGGGAAAGAAACAGAGAACTTCGATTAGTACATATTCTTATGCATTACGTGTTATGCGTTATGCAAGAGTCTGTGCTCCCCGCTTTACTTCTAGGGTCTCTAGCCACACGACGCAACTATTGACGTCGCCTAGCGGTGATGATGGAAACGAGAACGGGAACGACGGCTATCAATCATAGCGCATGCGCGCATGTGTCAGTGTGTCGTGTGCGTGTGTGCCGTGTGTCGTCGACTCGACGGATGGACGGCCGACGGGTGGACATATTAAACGTGCGGAAAGTGCCAGCGGAGCGGAGAGAGTGCGCGTAAACCTTGGTGACGCCGTCGCGACACCACGTACGTTGCGTATTGGACGTACGTACAGACATACGCGAGTTCAAGTGAATGGGGAGAAGAAACGCGACGCAGGTATAGGCACAGGTACGAAACACCATCGTCGTTAGTCCCCTCCATGGATTTAGGTTACCGCGGGTATGGCGAACCGGACGGATCCGGATTGATGCTGCGGGACAGTGTGAAATATACGCGATAAGTGCATGTCGTTACCGCGATCAGAGAAGTGTCTAGCAAGTTCGCTCATACGTTTAATTCACATCTCTCTGATACACGCGCGCTCGTGTGTGTGCGTGTGTGTGTGCGCGCGCGCGCGCGTTGCGGCGTCTGTGCGGGATCTCGGATCTTCCGTGTCTTTTTCTTCCCCCTCCCTCTTCTCCCCCCGGTATCTCTTTCTTTCTATCTTCGTCTCTGTCCATCTTTCCCTTTCTCTACATAATTTTCTGTGTGTACGTGTGCGGTCGTCTCTTGGATGTCTCTCGATGCTGCACGAAGGCAGTTGTGGCAGCTATCGAAGGACTATCGCTATCGCTGTCATCGTCGTGTTGTGTCAACGTAACCCACGGCAGCGGCATCACCACCACCATCACCAGCACCACCACCGACGCCTCTTTCAGTAATTAAACCAAACAAAATGGACACTCCCTTGCCTCCCCCCCCCCTCCTCCTCTTCCTCATCCTGTCGTCTACCTAGGTTTCTTGTTTTCTTCAGATGGACTTTGGGAAAAAAGATGGGATCGCCGTTCGCACAATTGTGAGTCCTGCTCTATCTTTCACATTCGATCGTTGGTATCAAAAGTAAACCGTTGATCCTCATCCGTGAGTGACGTGATTCCACATGCACGATGCACGCATCGATGGTATATTTCGATATACTTGGATGTACTCCAGACCCGTTCCTCTCGCCTTGCTCTCTTGGCGATCTTTTTTTTCTTCTTTTTTCTCTTTTTTTCGACATAATGTCTGTAAACGCAACGTTCTAACGCCGCTTTTCACCTCGGCCACGCGAAGTGTAACACCGTGCGACCGAGGTAAGCAGATTTTCCGAGAATTCGAATGTCTTGACGGGCGGTCGGCATGCGACGATTTGTTTTTTTCCCGTTCAAACACATGGATTGTTCAGCTGCACAGATGCTTCGATATCGCTTACCGGTTTTCCATGGGAGCTGTGATAATTACGACAACCTTAGTGATATTATGTCGCTCTCTTTTTTTTTCGTTTTTTTTTTTACAAATTATTCCACGTTTGTTGCATTGCAGACATTTGACATTACAGGCGTATAATAAGCGTGATAATTCCTCTCCATAGAGATCGCGCACGGTTTGCTGTGTGTTTATACATGTAGTAGCACGATCATTTAATTGTAAGACGTATGCGCTTAATCATTGAGACGTGTAAATTATATTATTCGCACGTATCAACAAAATCCTGATGCATGTTTCTCGAAGGATTTTTCCACGTCCACTTGTGAGCGGCGATCCTCTTGTGAAATCCTGCAGGTAGGATTTATACAGAATTTTCTTGACATGCTCGAATAAGATAAATGAGGATACGGTTCTAACCAACGACTGTTAAGAGGATCGATAACATGACATTTGGAGAATTTCTTCTAAAAGAAAAGGTGATAGGGAAGTTAATCAAACCAAGACGATAACGGTTTATTTCGTCACCCGAGGTGTCATCTGCTCAGTTTGAAATTAGTAAAGGTTCGGACGGTTGAGAACATAACCGTTGATGTAAAAGAGAGATTCGGCGACGTTTCCTCGACACTCGTTCTCGCCCTCGTCCGTTATTCCCGTGCCCATCGCGTTGTCGCAAAGAGAGTATTCGGCTGCCATTTGAGCGTGGCACATCGGGAGATGTATTCGAATCGATACCTGCGGAATACGATTGGTTAATCGAATATCCTACGCGCGGCTATCGGACTTTATAAGCTAAAATCTGATTGGTCCTCTTTCTCGTGTAATTTCGACTCCTGTCTTGCTGCTACCAATTGCGCGGTGCGCCTTTACCCGCGATATTGAATACTCGATGCGTTGCCAGTGCGACTCGTCCGTAGCGTTGTTCTCCGACGTCTTTCTCTTTTTCTCCTTCATTCCCTCTCTTTCTCTCTTCGCCTCCCTCCCTCCGTCTCTCTGTCTTCCGCACCGTTATTGCCTGTCCTTTCACTAAATTCGCATGACTCGATATACATACACACACACATATACATGGATTCATAAATCTGTCCGTTTGTAAAGAGAGCATGAGCACTTTGCGAGTTTCGTTTCCATTTTTCTTCACATTTCCGACAGGCAACGCGCCATAATTAAAATTTCTCATTTGGCGTATCCCGAGTTCAATTGTTATCATGGCAGTTGCCGTTTTGTTCATTGCACCCTACTGAGAGAAAAATTTTGGGTTAAAAATGAACGAACCAGAAGTTTGTAGAGTCATATTCTTGAAAAATGTTGCATATAAAAATGTACGAAAATATACTGTAGCATACGTTATGTGTGTATTATCCCATATAGCACAGAATTTGCAACAATATCGCTGCAACATGCGATGTTGCAGCAGTGTGGCTGCAACTTTGTGCTGTAGGGGATAGATCTTTCTAGTATTTTTGTATGCGATATTTTTTTAAGAATAAGGTCCTGAATCAATTAAAATTCTGGGCACGCATTATGAAATTGTTCGGAATGGATTCCGATAGGAATTATACTCCGTTTTCTTCAGAAATATAATAGAAATCTAGAAAATGATTAAATCCGATCAGAATCCATTTCGAATAATTCTATGTAATACACATACCCTGGTTTTTTTATTTTAACTAGAATTATAATAGATTCAACCAGAAAATTCTGATTTCTTCATTTTCAATCCGAATTCCAATTACTGCAACCAGACTACTTTTTTTCCTGTATGTAGCGCTACTTAATCATTGTAATAATTACAATCCCAAGCGAGATACCTGCAAATTTTGTTTGGCGTTAATTCTATTTCTGCGTTTAACCCTGAAACGGCAAACACTTTTCGTATGTTCGCGAACTATTTTTATACTTGATTTTGGCGAGAACGAATATTTCCCGACGTTTGTTTCTCTCCAGTAGGATGTGAAACGTAGAATACGATTACAAGATTAAAATTCAAGCCTAAGTTTTTTAAATCGCAAAGTGCGAGAATAGTTTAAATAAAAGAGAAACGTCGTATGACTTGAAGTTATCGCCGATTCTCGCAGTGCGTTTCTGTTTCAAGGTTAACTTTACTCGCGATATTGATAGTAATCGAAAAATTTTGATGCTTCAAGCGACAGTGAGAATGAGAAGCCGCGCGTAAAATTCATTTCAGATAATCTAGAATTCGTGTCAAAATTCAGAGAGTGGAACTTTATTTCATCGATTCCACCGTGTCGTGTAACACGAGAAGCATTTGAAGAATCAGAGAATACATGAAATGATTGTTGAAGTATATACAAGGATTCAATTACATATAACACAATTTATTGAAAGTTATGAAAATGAACGGATTAGAATATTTATAATTTCATTAATCGTCAACTATTGAATTTGTTTACTTTTGTTATTTTCATCTCGTTTTAAAAATACACAATCGACCCGAAAAATAGACAGCATAAGTGGCGATATCTAGACCGATAAATTTCTTGAGATTTCATCTGACAGGAATTTGTAGGTTTGAGATAGGCTCACGATAATTTTAACAAATGTATGGTTACCTAAAGATTAAAGGTTTCCAAAAAAAATCATCAATGAAATTCATTCATGAATTTCTCGGTAACTTTTAACCTTTAAAGGGCAGAAATGTAGTTTTAAAATCGTATAACTGTTATTTGAGAAAGATTTGTTACAATTTATTGTTACATTCATTGTATTTCTTTCATTAAAATACGACATTGTTGTCACTGCAGGCTCGATTCCACCAGTTTAACTACGCAACAATCTCGGTTTAACCTAATGTATATCTTTTTCTAATTCTTCTAAAACTTTAATCTCTAAGTAATTTATTCTTTTTTCTAATTGTTAGAATTAGAAATTAAGTTAATTTTACAGTGATGGAACTTGACCGTAGTGCAGGCTTTCCTGTAAAGATTAATCTTCAGGTAACTATGTATTATGAAAACAGATCTTGAGGAATGATTTTGAAATATGGTTGCCGATAGGATGCAGTCTGTTACGCGCGTGAGAAAAGTCAGATGTTTTTGTCCCACGTCCACGTCTACCTACGATATCATCGGACACAATTAGCGTGTTTGTGGAAGAACAGTACTGCGATAAGAAAGACGCAAGGAAGAGACGATAGATCCGCCCTTATCGAATCCACATGTCACATTCCTTACCGGTCAAAGTGAAAACAAATCGTACGTAATTATACGTCACGCAAAGAACGAAAAATCTCAAGGAGAGACTCAATAGAGACAAGGCCACTCGGAGCCGAAATAATTTTCGTACGCTTTCGCACTACGTGCTCCTTCGGAGCTTCATTTCCTTTCCCTTCTCTCTCTCTCTCTCTCCCCTTCGAAAATATATACATTGCGAGTGTATTCATTCTTAAATTCGATGCAGTGAGAAGAAGTGTCAAAAGGGGCGCAGGTAAAGCGAGCGGAGCTAACGGACCCTGGTCGGGTCGGTCCGTCCGTTTTGATCCGTGCTTCCCATTTCCCGTTCTTCTCCCTCTTGGAGCGTAGTCTGGACAAAGATATAGATATTCATTTTGCTCTCCGAATGCGGAATACGCAGGTAAAACAGACCTAAAACAATTTACGAGATCGAGTATATACGCTCCTCGGCTGCCGTGCGCGCGCGCGCGCACGCACGGGCGGGCATACACGACACATACGAATGCGAACACCGGGCCGAGAGCCGGCGAACGAACTAGCGACACGAATGCACGTCTGCACACAGCAATGCGGCGCGCGCGAGCGAACGAGCGAGCGAGTACGAGAGAAAGAGAGAGCGAGAGAGAGAGGGAGGGAGAAAGAAAGAAAGAAAGAAAAAAAAGAAGAGAGGAGGTCGGGAGATGCGCACGCCACCAGGTGGTGCGCCGAGTCGAGCCGAGCCGAGCGATGAGCGAGAGCGGTGTGCGGCCTGGTGCCTGTGGTGCCGTCGTCGCCGCTCGTGTGCCCGCCTGCGCGCTAGCGGCTAGAGGTGCTCGCTCTCTCGTCCGTAACACACCGGCGACGCGCACTCGGGCCACTCGGGGAAGCGAGAACGTTTTACTTGCGGGGAAACAGTGGTAGTGTAGTGTAAGCGTGGTATGGTGGCGGCCTCCTCCTCCTTCTCTTTCTCTTCCCCCGTGCTGCAACGGGTTACGGGACGGAGTAAGCGAGGACGGAGAGTAGTAGTTGTCCGCGTAGTGGTGGGGAAGGAGCGGAGTGAGCGCGAATACGTTTGCGTGAATGAGTGAGAGAGATGCGTATATATAGATAGACGTGTAGTATGTGTGGTACGTAGATGTGTATACGTGCGGAATGATTCGAGCCCGCTGGACACGCTTGCACCTCGATGATCCGC